TCTTACCACAGCAAAAGCAATAGGAAAAATCCCATTGTCTCCATCCCTCAAGTGCACTTAACAGTTGGCCTTTGTAAGGACCCTTCAAAAAACATCCATCCACTCCAATGAATGGTCTGCACCCTTCTAAAAAACTTTACTCATTGCTTCAAAACAAATGAATAACCCTTCAAATCTTGCAGGCTCTTCAAGTGTTGGTCTGTCAATAGTGGTGACTGCAATGCTACCAGGGTTTGTAGATTGAACTAGATGGCAGTAGTCTCTAGCTCTTCTGAATTGTGACCCATGGTTCCCCTCAATGTGTGAGACTGCCTTCTTCTTTGCTCTATAAACCTTGGAGCTAGAAACAATCACATCCAAATCCCTCAAAACAGCCTTCTTCATTGCACCAGTCTTCCATGCAGGTTCATCCCTCAAGGTCTCCATGTATTTTTTTGCCAAGAAAGAAGATGATGCTTGCTTATTAATTTTAGTATAAGAGCAATGATGAGTTGATTTGAATGTCTTTATCTCAAAACTGCCATCTTCAGTGTTGATTGATGCATGTATCCTCCACCCACAGTCAGAAACACATTTGGCAGTAACTCTTTCTCGTTCATTCTTCACAAATCTAATGTCATATTTCTCACTGATAGCATGAGCCCTCAAGTCCACTTTGAACTTTTCTGCTAATTAATATTTTTTTCCCATTTCAAAGCCAGTAACCCTTGGATTCTGCCAACCTCCGTCATTATTCTCTTCCTCATCTTCATCTTCAGATGAGCCCTTTAAACTTTGAAACTCATCACTTGGAGCATATGTTGATTCAATGTCAGAAAAATTGTATTCCCTCTCATGCAGATCAAGGTCATCAAGATCCACCCCAGAATTGGCATGTTCATTGTTCTCAGCAACAGTAGGCTCCACCTCACCATCTTCATGTGCCATTTCATCTTCCATCTCAACATTAGTAGCCTCCACCTCATTATCTAGATGTCCCATGTCAGCACCTTCTATCTCAGCATCATACCCATGCTTTATCTCAGTATCTTCTATTTCAGCATCATACCCATGCTCTATCTCACCATCTTCTATCTCAGCATCAATTAAAGTTTGTTCCCCATCACCATTGTTCATTGACAACTCAACATTACCATTTGCCACCTCAGTAGCCCATTCTAGGATTTCATCTTCCCACTCAGCATGCTCTGATCCACCCCCCTCCCCATCAACCACTTCAATATTAGGTGAGATGATGAACATTTTAATTAAACTAAACCTCTAATGACAAGCAATGCAACCCAAAACATCTTCATCCTTTAATATTTGTTTAATCCCTTCATCACTGCTCACCATTGGATTCCTATAATATAATTCAATCCTCATATCATCATACCCAAGCTTCTTCACCACATGATTCAGATCAAAATAATTTAAGTAATCCAGATCTATATTATGAATCAAAGTTACAATGCCACCTGTATAATTAAGGGGTGTGCCCTCAAAAGATCCTCCATGGTGTACCTCCAAACTAACTAACCTAGACATGATCTGTTAACAAAAAAACAAAATTAATTAATTAGCATTGCAATTAAAATTAACAAAACAGAAGGCAATGACCTACTTATGCAATAAACTATGTAGATGACAAATACAAGACAATGACAACAACTACAACACATGGACAAAAAGCAAAACCAAACCCCAAAAGCACAACGCAATGACACACAGTGGGGTCAATACACTTTAAGAAACATAAAAGCAGTACCAAAAAAATCCAATTATTGTGCTGACAGTACCAAAAAAACCATTAAAATCCAAAAGAATTCATGCATTATAATGACCGATGTATATTATATAGACAAAAAATACGCACATGCTTGCCAATATCTCAATTATTGCGCTAACAGTATAATATATATATATATATATATATATATATTCATGCATTATAAAAGGTTGAAATCAAGATTTCAGAAACCCTACCAACAATCACAATATAAAACAAAGTCCATACCCATGCAAAAATTTCTACTATAAACCCTTAATAGAAAAAATGTCAGAAACCCTAGAAATTTAGTGACACTTAGTATTCAGTAACCCTAACAAACAATAACATCAAAATAACATGAAAATAATACATAAAGTAGCTATTTTGAAAGTAAATTGCACTTTTAGAATAGTAAGCACACTTACGATTCAACCCTCTTTCTTGCACGATCGATTCTGAGACTTCAGATTTCTTCAATCTTCAATACAAAACACCAAAACCACAAAATAACTCCTTCAAATCGGAGTTCAGAGACCCTTAGTCTTCATAGCACTTAAAAGCCCTAGATTCGCGACCTTGGATCTTCTCTTCTCTAAGCACCGACAGGGTTACAACTTCAACACTTAGGCAACGTTTGGGAAAATTAAGTGTATATCCATAAAGGGCATTCACGGTATTTCACTCTTATTATTTATTTTCATTTTTTGTTTCTTAATTACGATGGGTAGTTTTGTAAATCTACATTGAGGTCGGCCGGAAAGTGGCCGGAATTACGTTTCAGGGGTTAATTTGAACGATTTGGATAGTTGTGGTACTGACTTGTTCATTTTTGTAGTCCAGGGGGATAAATTGCCGATTTCTAATAGTTCAGGGGGGTTTTTTGCATTTTTGCCATATATATATGCGTGTGTGGCTTGTATATAGGTGGGTCTGGTACAAGTGGTGTTGTTTGGCTGCTAAAGTGAGTAGTGTAAATCTGTATGGAATGAGCTATGGTTTCCAAATTGAGTTACAGAGTCAAGTTCTTAGATTGAAGTCTCTATGGAAGTTGTTTGGCGCTAAAACGTTGAAAGGTAAGTGAAGATTATTGATAAGATGTTGCGTTGTCGCCATATCATTGATTTTTAAGATTGCTACTTGAGAAACTATAATAAACATTCCAAACGGTGTCAGTTCATTTAAGGCCAATTTGGTAATTTAATATTTCCGGAAAGCTCTGGTGCCGGTGATTTTAAAATATTTCCTTAAATTGCAAATTTTGAATAATTCAAGGGGCATTACTTAGTTCAGGGAGATTTTGTGTTTTTTTGCTGAAAGTATAAGGGGGTTTCTTGCACTTTACCTTAATGTTTAATACTTAGGGTCCGTTTGACCAGCGATATGTTGTAGGCTTTATATATATTTTTTAATATCAAAACAACAGTCTTATTGTAGAAATGTTTTAGGTAGAAATCCGAACCATATTTTGTAACGAAATTTTGTTTTGGAAAATTCGGCTTTAGTTCCTCCGCTACAGTACCAAAACACACAATATCACTAATTTGATGATATGAATTTGGATAAAAAAATCTGACCTGTTATGAACTATTTCAAATCAATATCAACCGTACCAAAGAAGATATGAGCCCAAATTTAAAGATCAATATCAAAAATATAATATCATAACACATTTTAAAGGTACATACTCTTAAAAACGAGTAACATATATATGATAGATACGACACATTATTATTATTATTATTATTATTATTATTCAACATAGAACACATTAAAGAAATGAAATGATGAAACACATACATCAACGCACATCTTGAAATTATATAATATATTATTGACATGCATAGTGTAAAGGTGGAATTTTTTTCTTTCAATAAGATATACCTTCTTTTTGGTAGCAGCTGCCCTCATTTTTGCTAATATCAGCAGTACAACAACTACATAAGTATATATAAGGTTCATTCATCATTTCTCACCAAAATTAATATATATATATATATATATAAAAGTTATAGTATTTTATAATTAGTTTTCTCATCAAGGGTCTAATTCGTAAAAATACATCAATATATGTAGGTTTTACCCAAATCCATGTGTGATGTTTTTTTTTTTTTCTTTCAATAAGATATATATATATATGGATTTGGGTAAAACCTACATATATTGATGTATTTTTACGAATTAGACCCTTGATGAGAAAACTAAATATAAAATACTATAACTTATATATATATATATATATATATTAATTTTGGTGAGAAATGATGAATGAACCTTATATATACTTATGTAGTTGTTGTACTGCTGTTATTAGCAAAAATGAGGGCAGCTGCTACCAAAAAGAAGGTATATCTTATTGAAAGAAAAAAATTATATATATCTTATTGAAAGAAAAAAAAAACATCACACATGGATTTGGTTAAAACCTACATATATTGATGTATTTTTACGAATTAGACCCTTGATGAGAAAACTAATTATAAAATACTATAACTTTTATATATATATATATATATATATATATATATATATATATATTGGTGAGAAATGATGAATGAACCTTATATATACTTATGTAGTTGTTGTACTGCTGTTATTAGCAAAAATGAGGGCAGCTGCTACCAAAAAGAAGGTATATCTTATTGAAAGAAAAAAATTATATATATATATATATATATCTTATTGAAAGAAAAAAAAAAAACATCACACATGGATTTGGGTAAAACCTACATATATTGATGTATTTTTACGAATTAGACCCTTGATGAGAAAACTAATTATAAACTACTATAACTTATATATATATATATATATATATATATTAATTTTGGTGAGAAATGATGAATGAACCTTATAAATACTTATGTAGTTGTTGTACTGCTGTTATTAGCAAAAATGAGGGCAGCTGCTACCAAAAAGAAGGTATATCTTATTGAAAGAAAAAAATTATATATATATATATGGTCTAGATCGAGATTAGTGATCTGTCGCAGGCCAGGCTAGTGTACGTATGTGTGTCAATTAAATCACTGACATTTTAGCATTAAGGAACCCTCCATATATGTTCACATTCACAGCAATTTATATAACATGCAGAGACTTGAACAGCTCAGTGCCCACTGCCCTACTACCATACCCATGTCATTAGTCAAATGCCTCACCCCGGTCCCCTCATATATATATATATATATACAGAGCTTGGGCACACTTAAAGAATTAACCTCAAAAGCTTCTCTCTCTCTCTCTCTCTAAAATGTCCACCAACAAGATCAAGAGAAAGCTTCTTCTCAACAGGGTCAATGTGAGCCTAGGTTGTAGTAGTTGCACAAGGCCAAGACTCTCCAACATATTCCACCCAAAGCCAAAGACGTCACAAAAAAGTAAAACACCCACTAATTACTACCCAAAACACACACACTATCATACTCCTTCAAGCTCATGGGACAAAGACACCACAACCACATTCTCTCCCACCATTGACACCCCGTACTCGTGTAACTCCGATACCACCGAGACGACGGATATAAGGAGCATGAGAGCTCTCCAAGGCTTTGGGAGGATCGGGGGCGAGAGCGTGGCGGTGGAAAAAGACTCGGACGACCCGTATCTGGACTTCCGAAGATCCATGCTTCAAATGATAATGGAGAAGGAGATTTATTCCAAGACCGATCTTCGTGAGCTTCTCAACTGTTTCTTGCAGCTCAATTCACCTCAACACTATGGTACTATTGTTAGAGCTTTCACTGAGATATGGAATGGGGTGCTCTTGTCATCATGATCTTATATATATATATATATATATATATTGGAATCGATATATTATATATATTGTATCCTAAACTGCATGGTGTACACAAGTCAATCACGTAACCTTTACATCATGCACGTGAAATGATGTATGCTGTCTCAGTAATGTATTATACTCACGACTGAGATTGATCAATAAAATCTACTGTTATGTCACTAGCTAGCTTCAATCTGTGCGTGTATATATAGTGGAATGAAATGGTAATATTTAGCTAGTGTACTTGTGTTGTGTTAATTTGATATAATTTGACTGGAGAATGTTGATTGCGTTTTCTTTTTATTATATTCTTAAGGTTTTGTATTTGGATTTTAGATTAGATAATGTTAATTGCGATCTTGTTTACAAGGTCTTTTGATATGGATTTGCATATGGCTGTGTAGATTGTTTTCTGTTGTATAGGCTATTTTACTAAACACAGGAGACAGAGGGACATTCAAATTGGATAGTGCAGTACTGCAGTGGAGAGAGAAGTACTAAGTAGTAAAGTGAATGGGGATGGACTGACGTAGCCCTGTGAGTCTGGTCAAAATCTAACCGGCCTTCGAGATGTATGTAGTAGTAATTGTCTTGGTTGTAAAAGATAGACGTTACTTGGGATTTGAAAACTAGCTATATTAATGGTATATCATCAAAACAGTTGGTTTAATGGGCTTTAATGAAAACATTAACTTTTGTGATCGAGTCGACTGACCTGTTGTTTGTACATTTCCCAACTCACTCTATTAACACTGGGCCTCTCTCTCCAGTCTCCTGTGTGTGTGTGTGTGTGTGTTAGGCAGTAGCCTGCTGACCTTTGACTTGTTTTTAGATCTTGTTCTCGATCCTCTCGGCAACATATATATTACTATCAGCCACATATATTAATTCCAAGTAATCCATGGAGCAGCCTGGATAGGTAGCCTTGATAGAGAGATATCATGCATTAATTCCTAATCCACCACCTACAATTTCCAAATGGAGGAAGTGAATATCATCTATCAGCTAGCCTTAACCTACATTTTGCTAGCTCCTCAAAGAGTAATTATTTAGCAGCAATTAATCTGGTGGGTGATGATGATCGAACCATTGTTATAAGCTGTAATAAAGTTACTAACACTAATAGAACTCCATTACTCCAATCCCACTAAAAAATTACTACTAAATGACAACAAATCATAATATACATTTCCAAAAACTTTGACCAAAATTACAATTGAAGAATTAATACGTATATATATATGGTACGTCTCTACATTCCAGAATGATTTAAAAGATGCATGCTCCAAATAGTGCAATGATGGGATTGATGGAATGAATACAAGTAGCAGAAATCAAATTTCAAATGCTAGAGCTAGGTTTCATTATCGATTTCTGACATTAATTTAACATTTTGAATCACTTCACTGATGATGGATGCATGAAAGTAGAACGGAACCTAGCTAGTGCCAAATGTCTTGAATTAATGAGGTCCCCATTCCACCAAAGATCTAAAATCAATTTCAAGGAATGCCCGCCCATTACCAATTTTTAAGCGTGTGTATATATATTTGAAGCCATGAATTCCCTAACCTCCAACAAATTCATTCCTTCCAAATACTAATAAATATGGTCCGTTTGGTGATTATTTATATATATGGTTCTTTAGTTTAATTACTAATTAAGTGAAAATGGCATTCATAGGTCACTTTCTCACCAATTTCAAAACCGATACCGAATTAGGAAATCTATATCGATGGTCGCCGTCGTTTTCTCAAGATCAGACTTCTAGGGCCAGTTCATTGCAAGTGCTGAGCCCATGCACCCACTCACTCATCGATTGAGACCGTCCAGAATCCAGACTACTTTAATGTCATTAACTACATGTATGTATCTGTATGCGGTCATGATTATGAGTCATATTTATATGACACTGCTTTCATTGAAGAAATTTTAATAATTGTCCTTGCAATAAAATCAATCGCAATGAGTAGTAGGATCAATGAAATCCAAACTTTTATTATAAACAACGACCCTTTAATCTTTCATATTTAAACCAGATGTCATGGGTCACTAAAGTAGATACACACAGAGAATTAATGCTCGTCTTGTCAAAATAAATTCAACTATTCCAATTAGGTGTGCTTTGGTCTAATGGTGAATCTTATCTTCACAACACAGAGATTTAAATAAGAAAAACAGTCATTTTGGAATATATATATATATATATATATATTGGAATATATATATATATATATATACTTACCCCCCCCAAAAAAAAAAAAAAAAAAAAAAAAAAGGTAAAAGAAAATGAATAACGTTTAGCCTCCCGTAATGTTTTAAAATATAAAATAGTGATATTCACACCTTATTTAAAATAGTGATACAATTAAGTGGAGGGCTTCACTTCCTTATTTATTACATAATTGACCAATTAAAAGAAAAGGTTTAACAATGCACTGCAACTATTCGGTGCAATATTCATTTCCCTAAAAGATAATGTCACCTCCTCCAATTAACGTGCATTCTCTCCTCTTCTATTGTAGAAAATCAAAATCATTTTTCATTTTAACAAGCAATATTATGCATGGAAACACTTATGTTTAACTTTTTAAATTATTAATACGTCAATAAATTTGAATTGTTCACACATATATAGTCGGACATAACATCCACTTAACTTAGAAAACGAGTTGAGTTTAAGCTAATTTATGAAATTTGCTTATTAAACAACTTGAAACCAAACAATTTATAGTTCGACTCTTCAACTATTATATCTAGTATGAAGAAGCTTGTATAAGTCAGGGACCATAACCTGGTCAATTGCTTCAACTATGAGGAAATTCAAATTTATGTATATTCGGCAATCAAGTGGCTACATGCACACTTTAATTCAATTAAAAAGGCATATATGAATAAATACTAAGCTATAACTCATCTTCAGTTGGCACGAATTGTCTACCTAACTACTCTAATCTATGGTGCAATACAAGTCGTTTTCCCTAGGCATGAATTATCAAAACATTCATTTATACATGTTCAATTAAGCACCATTACATGATCACTACTTAAACTGTTAAAAGAAACCCTTAGTCGTCAATTTCTCACAATAAAAATAGTTTGAATTCAATTATAATAAAATCAATTCTAAGTCAAAAGATTAATTTCATTAAAATTGATTATAATCATTAAAACCCAACTGCTTAGTACAACTAAGTCAATTACTCAAAACCATGCAATTAATATACATATAAAAATCCCCAAAGTTAAGAACAATCAAACAATGCTACTTGGCTACGGTTACATCAATTCCATAAGATGAAATTTAGCTACTCATGGAGAGAGAGGATATATGTCATCGATCATTGTTGGTGTAGAGATCATCTCCATGAACTGCCAATTGGAATCTTCAATCTAAAAATTACCAAAGAGAGAAGAGAGAGAGAAAGAGAGAGGTTTTCTTGTGGCCTTTCATCTTCTTTTATAGGAGAAATCTGATCTTGGATAGGCTTTAGGACTTCTGGGGACATTTGGGCCTGTCTAGGTCAAAAAGACTAATTTTTAGAATCTGTTTTTTAAGTCCCGGCATGATAGTGCTCGATCGAGCACTATGCAAATGTGCTCGAGCACTGTCTCAACATGCAGTTTTGTAACGCTATTTTGACATACTTGAAGTTTGAATCTTGAAATTGCTATTAGACGTACATAAAAACGACGGCCTTCAAGTCTTCTTTCTATAGCCACTTAGTTTTCCTAATTTGGAGTTTCGAGTAAAAAGTTATGCCCAAAAAACTAAAATAGGTCCAGAACTCTTCAAGTGTGCTCGAGTACTAAAGAAGTGTGCTCGAGCACTACTTTCAACACTTAGCCAAATTTATCCAAATAATTTCTGAAGCGTCTTTCTGTCCAACACTTAGCCTAATTTTCACTTTTTTCTCAATGGTGCTTGAGCACTATGGCAATGGTGCTCGAGCACTATAATGTGTGCTCGAGCACACTCTTCATAATTTTCCCGATTCCGCCCTTTTGATTTCTGAATCATCCCGGAAGGTCTAAAACAGCTCCAAAGGCTCTAAGATTATCGCTTTATTTTTTAAAGTCATGATTTGATCGGTTTTTTTCGGGAAATCACCTACGAAAACAAATAATAAAAAATCAGTATAAAAATCGAATATAAGTATCACTTAAAGCCTTAACATACACACGTTTAAGGGCTTAAATATGCAATATTCAGTGCCTATCAAGTGCATCCGCTGCTACTGTCGCTAAGGATTCGAAAAAATGAAATGATAATGATGAAGCATTATCAATCACTGATAACAAGGGAGAAGCTAAGGAGTAAATACTTAATTCTCTGCTTGTTCTCTTCATGTGTGTTCTCGTAGAAAGTTATTTGCTACTTACAAACTTGTAGGTGGTGTGGTATTTATAGAGAATAATGTTTATTGTGATGCTATTGGAATTAGAAGAATCAAAATTAAGATAACGAATGCTTTAGTAAGAACTCTAACGAATATACGTCATATTCCAACTGTTAGAAAAAATGTGATCTCTGTAGGAGCATTAGATTCCAATAGGGTGTGAAGTAAAGAATGGATTGATGAAGATTAGAAAGGGACCACGTGCTATACTTTAGGGAAGGGACATCAATAAACTCTATATTTTATTGGGAAATGCTATGCCAGGTGGAGTAATTGTAAAAACAAAATGAAAGCCTGTTTCGAGATTGGAGAATCAAGAACCTCAAGAGAATGAAGAAGTCTTGACAATTGTAAGAGCACCAACCTTTATTCCATAAGTAACAAGAACTCGATTTGATGATGCGAAATTATTTGAACTTGGAATTTGTTAGGAATAGATGAGTGTGGCGGAACAGCGAAAAATGATAAGAAGAAATAAGATGTTAGGTTCAAGGTGAAGAGATCTTCAATCGATGTGAGTTATATATGAACAAGCATGGGAAGATGAATTTTGAGCCAAGGTGAAAATTGTTGGATTTGTAGTTCGAAATTAAAATTAGTTTCATTTTCCGTTTGTGATGCTTTTATTTTAGAATTGTGACTGATATAGTAACTCTGTTTAGTCAAGTTGTGGAATTCTTATCTAACAGTGAATTAGGTTTTGAAGACTCTAAATAAAGATGGGTTTGGGTAGAGAGGTAGAGAGAGAGAGAGAATTGTAGAGAGAGAAAAAAAAATGAGTTGAGTTTGTGAAAAGAGTAATTAAATTTTAAAGTAAAAGAATTCTTCGCCGGAGGACTCTGTTCTATATGGAAGAGGTATATATATATATATATCATGTCATATATAGGATGAGGTGCGTCCGAGCTTATCCAATCAACATTTTATAGGAATATATGTACGTACCTCTTCACTCATGTATATGTAATATTCGAGTTAATTTTTGCTTGGTGGATCAAATAAATATATGATTCAATTCTCCAATTCAAATGCACGCCCACAGCCACAGACAGGACCACCATTTTGCATTTCCGCAGGCAGGGAACATTCATCCCCAGTCCCCACCCACATGCAGAATATTTCATTTTCTTGTTTTTTCCATGAAACGCTTATTAGAATATTTCATATTAGAATATTTCACTCTCTCAGTATATATATATACTGAGAGAGAGTATATATACTGAGAGAGAGAGAGAGATATTAGATTGTTTTACATAGCCAGTGAGGACAGATCGAGGTGATAGGCTGCCCTACCATATACCCGATAAATATTTTGTATTCTTCTCATTTTGAGATCCAAGTTTTTTAGCCATCAAAAATTTGAATGGCCTGCAGGTACTCATCTCTTGTTCCTTCTCTAAACTCTTATGCTACGTTTAGTGTGCAGGAATGAAATGAAATACAAGTGGGAATAGAATGAAATAATCATTCTCATTCTATTGTTTGGTTGAAAATATGAAATGTGTAGGAATGTAATGATAAAGACCATTCTAGTGTTTGGTTGGACCAATTTAAAATTTATAATGGAATAAATTTCTAATTGAATTCTCAAAAATATCCCTCTTAGTAACAAATAAATTAAATTAAAATAACAAACTGATATTCTCTAATAATTTTTTAAAAAATAAATGGTGGCAGTGGCGGTGGTAGAAGGCAGCGGCAGCGGTGGTAGTGGTGGCGGTAGCGATGGTGGTGGTGAAAGGTGGTGGTGGTGGCGGTGGTGATGGTGGAAGGTGGTAATGAAAGGTGGTAGAAGGTGATGGTGGCAGCTTTGGTGGTTATGGAAGGCGGCGGCGGTGGTAGTGTAGGGCTGTGGCGGTGGTGGTAGTGAAAGGCGGTAGCAGTGGTGGTGGTGAAAGGTGGTGGCAGTAGTGAAAGGCGATGGCGGCAGTGGTGGTGGAAGGTGGTGAAAGGCAATGGCAGTGGTGGTGGTGGAAGGTGGTGGCGATAACAGTGGTGAAAGGTGGTGGCGGTGGTTGCGGCAAACGGTGGCGGTAGCGGTGGCGGTGGTGGTGGTGGAAAGTAGTGGGCGATGGTGAAAGTCAGTGATGGTGGAAGGCAGTGGTAGTGGTGGTGGTGGTGAAAGGTGGAGATGATTGTGGTGGAAGGTAATGGTGGTTTTTGGATATGGAATATGAGGGTGTTTTGAAAACTCAATTTTTTAAAATAAATTACTTGGGAATGGCCATTCCATAAATTTAGTTGTGGAATGGATTTTCATTCCCAGGAATGGATTTTAATTCCAATGGAATGGCCATTCCATTCCATTCCTATACACCAAGTAAAGGAATAATTGGAATGAGCATTCCATTCCTGCATACCAAAAGTAGCATTAGCTATATACAAGTATTTGACTCCATCTCACAATTATATATATAGATACCATATATGTTATATTAGACATATATCCATCTCTAAATTTATATATATATATATATATATATATATAGAGGAGTATAATATATGTTTGTATTCTCAATTTCTGGGGTAATGATAATATTGCAGGTGCAGGGATATTGAGCACATACATAGGACCACTTACGCCAAATTTATGCACTTCGAATTGTAGCTATCAAATGATAATGACTCCCGTTTGAAATGGACGGCCACTATCACACCATTATCTCAAGACCCACTGCAGCAGGGTCCCTACTTCTTACCTACACATCATCAAATTAATGGTGCATATATATATGCTCCGTCGGATCCATCACACTAATGTATCCAAGTGATATATTTTGGTTATATTGTATCAGTGTGTGTGATCATACCATATATTATTATTATTATTATTATTATTATTATTATATATATCTACGTGCTGCTCAATTTCAATTATTATGTTAATTGTTAACAGGAGAAGGAGAATGCTTTTGAAGGAAGCTCTAGCTTCACAACCTCATTACTCAAAACTATATATAAATCTACTTCATGCTTTTAAAACAAGTATATATATAAATGTTTTGGACCATCTCCACTGCAGGAATATATTGTCCAAATTAAGCAACTCAATGAGGTCGATCTCTTGAATGCCCACATCTCATTCAACAATGGATAAGATTATTTTTTTGGAAGTTAACAATGGATGCAGGAGATTTGATTATCATGACTGCTTTATGGTTCTCTAATTAAATTTTTTTCCACAAAAAAAAAAAAAAAAAAAAAAAAACACTTCAAGAACAAGGACAAATTTCGTAAAGTAGTCGAGTCTTAAATTAGAATTCTTTCTATTTTCCACTGGCTGGATTTCTTGTGTTCTTACTTCATGCAGATCACCACACAAACTTATGTATCAGAAGGTTGTCTTTTGTAATCTTGTTACAATAAATTGAGCACATATTTGAGCAACCATGCACTTTCTGTAGAAACACACACACACACACACATATATATAATATTTGAGCACTACTTTTGACAGACTTCTTTTAAAGTAAAATAAAGTTAAATGAATTCTTAAAATAAATTTCAAACCATCTTAATTACAGTAATTTAATAAAAAAAACACAAAAACATTTACCCATTACATTTCCTGTCAGAGAAAAAGACCAAAACAAAGATAATCATTGTAAATTAATGAAGTAGACAGGATTCAAACTAAATTAATTAATTAATTGTATTTCTATATATATGCTAGTCAACGTACAATATATCCAATCTCTTAATCTAATGAAGTAGAAAGAATTTAAAAAAAATAAAACTGGTAGTTTAATTACAAAATTTCACATAATTAATCAAACATCCAAAGAAGAGGAAGATGATGAAACGTTATGAAGAGGTGTTTTCTGTATGTCATCTTCAGCTTCTAATGAAGATAAACAAGGAGTAGTAGAAGGAGAAGAAGAAGAAGAAGAAAACGACAAAAGAGTAAGAGATTGAGTAACAGTAGTAGCAGCAGAAAAAGAATGATGATCATCATCATCAGAAAGAGTAGAAGAATTGGGAGAAGCAAAAGTAGCAAGAGTAGTAGAACGATTAATCAACAAATCAACAAATGCTTGAACTATGTACCCATGATTGCTCTTCCCATTCACCCTCAAATACCAACTCAAAAGCTCTTCCAGACGATCCCAATTATTCAACCCATGAGCCTCCACCATCTCCTCCATTGATTTCTTGAAGTCCAAGTAAGGGTCATGAGACTCCATTTCCATAACCACACTCTCTTTCAACACAAACGACGACGTCCCATCTGTTTTTGCCTCCTCCATTATCGAACTACTCTCTCCTGCTCCTGCTTCAAAGAACAGCCTCTCTGACCGTAACCCGCGAATCACCGTCTCAATCTGGGACTGAGAGTGCTCTACCGTGGTTGACTCGAAGACGTTGGTGAATGATGATGACTCAGGTGAGTCAACCAATCCGGTCGAATCATCCACGTAGGCTGAGTTTATGGTCTTGTACATGTTGTCGCCGGCTCGGAAGGACAGGGTTTTAGGGTTTCCACAGGATGGCCGCCATGGCCATGAGGGGGTGGTTTCAGTAGTGTTCTTGAAGGGAAAAGGGAGAAGCTTCATTTGATTTATTTATTTATTTTTGCAAACAATGGCTTGAAGAGAAATGTGGGTTGTGAATGTAAGTACTTGCATGTGGTGGCATTAAATGGATAGTCAGAGAGTTAAAATTTGAAGATGAGATTTAAAAACAGTGATGAAAAAAGTTAGATGAGGAAGAGGGACTGACTACTGGTGGGGACCTTTCATACATGTGCTTTTTATTTTAAGCTTTCTACATAATCTACTTCTTCCATCCCACTCAAATATAACGCTACTTTTGTCAATCCCTCAATTATTCAGTTAATTAATCTTCATGTTGCTAATTAAACCAGCTTAATTAGCATGGTGTGATTTCATAAACTCATACAAAATACTATTATTTGCAATATGTCAAGGTAATAAACACCTAATCCATTAGATCGATTTCACTTTGTGTCGGTGTTTGTATTATTGAACTGTGTTTAACCAAAACTGGGGATCGATAAATGGATTAACAAGGGAGTGATGGGTGTTTGTTGCATGCATTTATACTCTCACAACCTTTACAATTAAGTCATGGATAATGATATTGATGAGTTGAGGCCATGCCAGTACTGAATGTTGTTGTACTCTACTATCATCGCTTAAAAGCCTGCATTTTCTGCGTAATTTCTAAGCCGTTGTCACTTTATAGATGTATATTATATATATACATCTTTCTCTAAGTTTCACGGTGTATGTGGTTTGGATAAAAGTAAAAGGTGAGTTGAGTGAGCCCATTGAAAGTTGTCCTCTTGCATTACTCAAAAAGCCTGCATTTCCTCTGTTTCTAAATTTCACAACCAACCAAGTCGTTGTCACTGTATTATATACAATTCTAAATTTCACTGTGTCACAGATCAATCAAATAATGAAACAGAGAAACTGTTTAAAAGCATTGATTAGAAACTGTTTTGACTTGCTGGACACGGATAGATTTGTCACAGATCAATCAAATAATGAAACAGAGAACTCCACATCAACATCAAAGTTGTTCCAGAATTACAAATTTGGACCACATATTCTTAGACATTTTTATATTTAGATAAGTCTCGACTTATTGAAAGGTAAGAAATAAGCCAAACGGAAATAAGTTCCAAAAGCTGAATATAGCAAGAATTAATACGCCCCTTAAGCTGCAAAAATAATACTAATACGCCCATTAAAAAGATAAATATATTCAATATTTGACACAGAAGAAGAGTCCCATTAATCAAACAGCAGCATCCCCGCAGCACAGTTTAATAACATAAGACAAGGAGGACAACAAAGATTGAGAAGCTATGAAGGGGGTTAACGGGAGAGAGCTTGTTGAGGCATTCCCCTGTAGATTTTTAGCTTCCATATGGTTTCGAGTTTCAACACGGCATTACAAACCATGGATATGCATATAGTATAATGCAAAATCGTCCATTAAAATCTTATAATAGTCCTTAAACTAGAAATAAGTCCCTTCAGGAGGCTGAACCAGCTTACGGTTTTGTGGGGCTGCCATCTCCTTCTTCAACTGTGTCAGTATATCTTCCATGGTGTACTCTCGCTGCCAATTTGCCAGAATTCCAAACTTCTTCGATTCCACCTGTACCAATTGAATGCCATAATATCTTGTCAACCATTTCAATAGCTATATGACCATAAAAAAGAAACAAGTGACTCGGACTTCCCATCATCAGCATATTGGCACAGGGATGATAACAAAGAAATTTATCATTTTCTATTTGTCCACAAATTTAGTATTCCTGTTCGACAATATTTATAAAACTTCATATATAGCTCATCGACACAAAAGTCAAGTTGATTATACCAAAAACCAAATAACTAACATAATGTAAGAATCCCCGATTCCTAAAGTCAAAACATAATTTTGGTACAACTTGCACTGAATTAAAAACAAGCATCACAACCAATTCTGGTCAATTTGGCTTGTAAAACAACCAAATCCATTAAGAGGCATATGGGAATTTAATGAAATGATAGTTATAGGGATAGATGGATACAGATACTTGTCAAGAAAAGAAGATAGAAGCGATAAAGAAAAACACATAATAGAGGGGAAACAATTAAACAACTAATACTACAGTTATATTTAAATTATCAATATCATAATTACTAAAAAGTACATAACATGATCCGAATATAATGTCCTAGTTTTGTTAGGATGGTTAGAGAAAGCTGTCAATGACATTCTCAGTCCTTGGCTTCCCTTTAAGAGAAGCAAATAAATTAAAAAGGCAAAAAAAAAAAAAAAAGAAAAAAAAAAACATAAAGCAACAAAAGGAATTGAAACAGAATGCACCAATAATTTTTACACAATTAGAGTTGAAAGCATAAACAAACCACACATCAATTTAAATGTAAAATGATAATAATTGTACCACTCCAGTTTCATGGTTGACACAGGTCATGTTAATTCGAGAATGGAACCGAACACTTGGTGGCTTCTCTGGATAATCTTTGTCACAGAATAACTTCAACTGATAAATGCGACCTTCATGAACAGACTGAAACAAGAACAAAAACATTTTCGTGACTTTAAGCTATCTATATAGGGAAGAAGTCACAAATATCAACTAATACCTTTCAGTTTAACCACAATTATTAGCTCATAATACATATTGATTAAAAAAAAATCCGTCAATTTTGGAAGAGAAATTATAGAGATTATTCTTAGTGCTTATCAATTCAAATGACAGCATTGAGTCAAATAGAAAAATTAAAGATTGGATCAGATATCTACATAGCCCAAGAGAGGAAGCATGTGACTCTGCCCGACTAAAAGCTCGTTAAAACTTATTTGAGATAATCAGCTAATTACTTGCCTAAGCAAGGTCCAGCTATATTATTTTTTCATATCGTGTCTCTTCACAAGCATCGCTTTAGAGTTAAGAGTTCTCCAACAACAAGACACTTCAAAAGGATTCCTTAAAAACATTAGAATTGAAAGAAAAAAAAATAAAAATAAAAAAAATAAAAAAATAAGACCACAGCCTTAAAAGCTTGGCTAAACATGGCAGATTATTCATTCACCCACTTTTCTCCATACAAGTATATCAGTAAGTTTTCCGAAAAATTTCAGTGATGTAAAGAAGCATAAACAGGGGGTGAAATTCTTCTCTTTTTTTTTTTTTTCCTTTTCGAGTGACACTGAAACTAAGGACCAAAACCTAATGCATCAATATGTAGACTCACAAGTTTGAATGAAATGGTAACAAGTTAATGACGAGTTCTTTCTTTTTTCTTTTCCTTTTTTGGAGTGTTAAAAATAATTGTGTGATTTGAGTTTCATCAGCAGCAGTCACCACACCACGCTAAAAAATAGCGAAGATATCCCTAAAGCAAGTATGAAATTGAATTATAAAGAGAGAAAAGGGCTCTTACGTTATGCGGACCAATTATGGTGCCTGTCCAAGAGCGCATGTAAATGTCATCTCCATCATCCATTCCATAGCTCACAGTGCCATCTCCAATACCCTTCTCTCCACGTTCAAGTTCCTCAAGCAATCTGAAGTTTCGAGGGACTGCAAGAAACTAAAAGACTTGAAAAGTCCAAATCTTCAACTTAAATAAGTTTAAAATGTGTATTCAGTATAATTCGGAAGTCATTAAAAATCATCCTCGCATTGAAAAGAAAATGGGAAAATTATGAGTTTGGAAACTAATTTAATTGCATATTTTAGTAATGACACCCAGCAAAAAAATATTTTATTGCTACCATCCATGTTTTCTTTAGTAAATGAGCACCAAGAATCCCTTAAAAAGCCTCCTTCTACATTGCTGTGACCGTGAACAAAATTTCTCCGGAACTCACTAATACACAGGATAAGATCGTTTTGATACTCACAATTACGCATTTCAAGTCACAAAGCATTTCTACCAACAAATTAATTCAATAGTATAAGATCATAAATTGATAATCACATATGAGCTCTCATAAAATGATTCCTGACTGTTTGAGCAAGCTTTTGCCATTTGAAACAGACTTCAGATAATTTATTAGAACGAAATGTCTTGCACTGATATATTCTATGAACAATATTGCTGGAAGTATGTCAAATTGATTGTGAGACTGAGTCACCATATCAAGGAAGCTACATGGCAAAAGATAACTCAAGAATGAAAACAAAATTTGACCTGATTCTTTGCATCATTCAATCACAAATTAGATAACAGTAATTGAGATTTGGAGAACTTGAGGTTTAGGTCTGTTAGAGACTAGTTTAGATGATTTAACATCAACTTAGTTGATTGTGGATGAATAACTGAACATATAACAAGTGAGTCTAACAAACTATGATAAAAATGCTGTGAAAAATAATAGGTTTTTGTATTTGGGACAATTTGATCAATTCAATCAATGGTGTGGACTTACCCAGGCTAAACATATAAGTCTCAACTGATTGAAACATGAACTTGATAGACTGAAATGAGGATTGAGAGGACAATTGATCAAAGGCGACCACGGCAGATAATGTTTTAGGCTGATCAAAAAAATGCTTGTATTGATCAAGAGATGGCCAGTTTTGAAAAATTACACAGTTCCCAATATGAAATCAAACTTTTACATGCCAAAACTAGGAAACAAAAATACATGTCTTTGGTACATTCTTCAGGAAACTAAAATACATGTCTTAAACTTGCCCCTTTTTTCCTAAGCAACATTCTATTACCAACAAAGCAGCAAAACAAAAACAGGAAAGACAAACCTCTGCGATACAAAGACAGGTTAAAACAAGAGCTAAACCACTAAGAAAGCAAACTTCCAAAATCTGGCTATCAAAAACAAAAGGAAAAAGAAGAAACAAAGGGAGCAATAAAATAAAACACCAAAAGGTAAAAACATATGCTCATACACAGCAAAGCTACAAAAAGGACAATTAACAGGCCATGTCCAGAAACTGAACATCCCAACCAGATCATGCAACTGAGCACCCAATGTAGCAGCAACATTCCATATATTTTGCCTTGCATCCTCGGGCATTTTAAAAAATACACCATCACGTCTTTGTTTTCTAGTACACACAATTGCCAAATGACACAAGTAAAAATCAACCTCATCATTTTGCTTTTCTGAGAACTAGCAGCCGACCGGGATACAAAAAATTGCACTAACTAATCAAAATTTGCCACTCTGCTTCACTCCCAATTAAAAAGCTCCACCATCGATCTCCATATATTTTGAGCAAAATTGAAACTGAAAAACAGGTGATCTACCATATCAGAATTATTAATACAATTTTGACAAACAGAGTTGGTGAAATGCCCCCCTGTTGAAGATTTGAAAGGGATGGGACTTTGTTCTGCAAAACTTGCATTTTTTAATCAATGAAGGAGCTGATGACCTGCCATTGGAAATTAAATTGCACTAGATGGGTGTTAAGAGTGCACTTATAATTAGTACAATTCAGATTCAGGAAGAAACATACTTGAATAGTCCAACCAGATTTGTAGATCCGCATCTCCCCTATTTTACCCAGACTGGGTACGGGTGTCGGATACGGTTGCATGTCTAGAAGTCGGATTCATCCATCTTTCAAATTATGGGATACGGGAACTCGGCTAAAAAGAGTCCAAAAGTTGGACATGGGCACTTGGACACGGTTATAATTAATAAACAGTGGTAAGAAGAATAGGTCATTTATCTATTATTTAAGAGTAATTAATATTTTTAAATGAAGAGACAATCTGTCCTACCCTCACTCTAAAAAATAAAATAAAAAAGAAATATATAAAAATATATATATATATATACAGAAATGATCACTTGCTCACTGGTGAACAAGAAATTTATCCACACCAAACATAGCAACTAGTGGATATAATTGTTATATTTTTTGGTAATTACCTTTTTAACACTTGAATTATCTAACGGTTACCATGCTTATTTCTAGCTCACCAGTGAGCAAGAGATCATTACTATATATATATATAGACCGTCTGATTTTCATATTTTAATTGGTACAATACATGGTCTTTTATAACATTTATTTATTTGAAAAGTAAGTGGTTGTAGTAAAAAGTAAATGTAATAGTTAAAAAGGTTAAGTAACTGCACAGGGCCAATGTGATAAGCAAACAGCTGGCGGCAACGAACAAAACGTGATCATTCTCTACCACGCATCTGGGATATTAAATAGACATATGAAAAGTCTCTGAAATGTTTCAGCTGCGCGTGAAGAAAGCCACCGGCTTCAACCTTCAAAAAACCCTATTTTCGAACAGTAGCCTCCATGGACCTGACAGAAGACATCCAATCCAACAAAGAGACATGAAAAAAAAGTTCAGATCCCTCCAAGCGTCCACCGATACAATCTTCCATGAGCATGTCTTCATCAGCTGTGCCCGATGGTTGCAGAAGGCTGTCCTGTGTCGGCATCTGTAAAGACATGGACACCCTGGGCTAACCTGGCGAGTCCAGGTAACATAGCATCACCCAAATGTATGTGCTCCATCTTTAAAAAGTTCTCTATTGTTTGAAGCAAGATTCTAGAACTTGGTATAAGAAGATTACTGCTTACCTTCTGAATTAGAACTTTATGTGATGGAGAGTAGAAGTTAATTAATTTGTGGTTTATGTTCAACATCTAACTCGTAGGTCTAGTAGTGAGAAGAGAAAAGAAATTGAAATATGCATTGTTGAATAATTAGACTTTTTCTTAAGTCTCCAAGTTAATAAGATGAAGGAAATTTTATTTGGAAGCCTAAGTGCACTAAAAACACTAGTGAAGAAGCTTCTCTACTAGGCACATAACTACTACCATGAGCACTACTGCACTAGAAAAACTTAAATAAAGATACTTCAAGAAAATATGCAAATCTAATCATTATATTATTTAGGAACATGATAAGTAGCCTTTTCTACTTGAATGGTCGTAGACACAGCATGCTTTAATGTTGTGCCAGATATCAAACCAACCCTAAAAAATCCCATTTAAACGCCCTTAAGCACCTGCATACAGTATTCATTATGTCAACAATACTCCTCATCCATAAATAATTCATAATTAGATTAATTGGATTAGATTTATTTTGTATAATCATAATTTATTAATTATCTGAACTGTCCCTCTCTCTAGATTCTAGCTCTAGAAACTCCAGGGAAGGTGCTCCACTTGAAGACGACAACACCGATCTGCTCTCATCACTGAGTAGTGCCTCTACGTAACATTGCATTGTTACAATGAAAAATTGGGACTCAAAAACAAAGAGGAAGAACAAATCAACTACACGGAGCAGTTAGGCAATTCATTCTCAACGAAGATCAAAGCAGTTCTCATACCCGAGAGTGTTTGACTGATTTCGACGATTCCTTGTTGGACGATGAGTTTTATTCGGCCAAAAGATGTTGTCTCAGTCAGTAAGCAGCTCGATTACATGATCCAATTCTTGGACTGCACTCTCTCATTGCCAAACAATGACGATTGAAACGACTCTAATTCAATCGTTGGGCATTATCAGACTTCGTAGCAAGCACAGAAATTGTAATTTTCAAGGTTTTGTTTTGTGCTGCGGTTCATACCAGTTGGCGGCCTAGTCTTGAATTAAGGCCTCACCCACTCAAGGAACACAGATTTGGTGTTTTTTTTTTAGGACTGTGGTGTCTGCGAAGTCTCACTGTGGATGGGTTTGGAGTGCAATTCTAAAAGTTAACAGATTGTATGGGAACAGGATGAAGAAGACGATGCCTCATCGTGTGTGGTTATAATTTATTAATTATCTAAGAGTATAAAATGGTAATTGTAATAAATAAGTAAAAATTACTTGGTAATCGCTATATAACTAGTAAATGAGATTTGTTAAATACTTAAATATGTAGACATAATCTAACTAAGGGCAATATTATCTTCTTGTTAATATTATAATAGGGATAAATATGTGATTCACAACATTGTTGAAGGGGTATTATAATCTTTTTCACATATTTGAAGTATAAAATTGAAATTAGATTTGTTCTCGGTGTTTTCAAACATTGACTAAAGGTCAACTCCGATGAAGGGGGGAAGTGTTACCAAAACACAAACGTCAAGGGAGGTCAAATTAATTTTGGAAAACACGGGTGTATCGCTATAGGCTTGAGGTCATGTACTTTTTCCTTATAATTTATGTTCTTGTATTATTGTCAGCCGTGTTTAAGATTAGGAGTTTTTAACTTTTATATTATTTTATTTTGTAAGGATCTTGTGATTTGTGTTCATGTAACTTCTAGAAATCTAATTCTTGTACTCCACTACACCCTCCGTTCCAAAATTTTGATCCCCCTTTTTTCATTTTTGGATGTCCCAAAATTCTTGTCCATATTGAATAACCAAGGCAAAAAGATAATTTACTTACCAAAATATCCTCAAGTTTTTTAAAACATACCCCAACTAAAACTTACTTTAAATGGGTAGTTTTGAAATGTTAAAAAGGGTCAATGCATTGAATGTATGTCCCCCTAAAAGTTGGAATTTCAAAGACAGAACAATTTTAGGACGTAGGGAGTATAATTGATGAACAAAAACTAAAATTAAGAAACATAATTGATTACACTAAATTTTCACACTTTTAAAGGATTTGAAACCAGTCTCTTTTACTTATCTTCAGTTAATAGATGACTCATTGGAACTCTTTTGGCAATTACACTTGATCATACTCTCACTACTTTGATTAAGACTGAACTTTATTAGTATTATCTTAATAGCACTACATGAATTAGGACCATAGATAACCAAATTTAGTGCAAAAAAAGAAAAGGATGGGAAAAGTGAGACTCCATAATTACAACTTCAAAGAAATCCATGTTAATAGATATCTGAGATCAGGAAATGTTAAACAAAATGTCAATTAGGTCATGAGTCTGAACCACATTATCAAGGAAGTTGCATTTCTAATAGATGATTAAAAAAATGAAGATGAATTTGGAAAAACACACCAACATCATTCTTCACGTGATCAAATACACATTAGTTAACATAAGGGATACTCAGAGAACTTAAGTTTAGGTTGGGTAAAGGCTAGTTTAGATGATTTACCATTAATCTAGTTAATCACGGATAACAAAATTGCACATAAAACAAGTGATGTTGGCAAAGCAGAAGAAAAAATTACTTCGAAAATTCTCATTTTTGTACTTGGGAAAATTGGATAGATTGAATCAAGGTTGTTGGTCAATTCAGGGTTCACCTAGAAATCTCAACTGATCAAGCCATGAACTCCATCAATAAAAATGAGGAAGTGTAAGATAGGGCGGCCTTTTCTCCATTCCTTACAAGAGAATGCCGGGCCAGGGAACTACATCCTTAAAGAACTAATAACAAATAAGCAATTAAGGACATTCATTTTATTAGTCATTTTATTTTAGTCTGCAGGAAAAGAAAACAAAAAAAAAAAAAAAGGACTGGTACATCTTACTTGGATTGAACATGGATAGTATAAGGTTTCCCAACATGCCTAGACTTTTGGATATTTTAGTGGCAATCAATTATAGATTAGGATTGTATAGGGTGTTTATATGGGGTTGGTCCCTACTCTCACTCAATTATAGTTGTGGCCTCCCAATTGGACTTAGAAATGCAAATAAAAAATAGAATAGAGTAGAAGCCCCTCTCTCACCATGGCTAAGGATCTCTTGCAAACCTTTTTTAGGATTTTCATATTCTACTCATGGATACATGTATTGTATAAACACGCTTGTGGTTAAGGTAAGATTTTACATGGAAGTTTCACAGAGAGGACTCATTTAAAAATGATAAAGATACCAAAAAAAAAAAAAAAAAACGAAGATTGGCCGAGAAGCAGACTTTTCTCGAATTGAAAATAAGCAAAGATATCCACTACAACAATATGTAAGTTCTTCGTACGAAAAAAAAAAAACATACAAATTCCATCACAACGAAAAAAATTTTAAAAAAAAAAAAAAAAAAAAAGACGTAAAAATATACATACATCACTTGAGGCCAATCAGTCAATAACACACAACCAGAACATCATCTACGCAAAATATGAATCAAAACAATTAAATCTCACAACCCATAAGCAGATTTGGCAAATAAATAACAGAAAACATGAGATCGAAAGACGATTAAGAAAAACCATCTTGGGTTCGAAGACTAACCCACGACACTCGATCCTCCTGAGCCAAGCGTCATGGATGAAAATACAAGTATGCCTGTTTAGAGATCGATCTGATCGAAGTTTATAAAATTCTACTCAGAGCAAGAGATGTAGAAGAGGAGAGTCAGAGACGGAAATGGAAGAAGATTCTGAGGAGCCGAGTGAACGCGATGAGGCCAGCTTGTTTACAAGTAAGTAGGGTAGGGTAGGAATAAAGTGGACTTGTTTCGGCCCAAATCTAAGTTGAACCGGCTAGGCATTGGGCTGTCCTGAACTGAACCGAACCGAACCGAGCTGAGCTTGGCTTATGTTTTTCTTTTTCTTCCTAAAAAGTTTCCCCAAAATACTCGTAAGTTACGATAAAGAGGAGTGGTGGCTCCTACCAACCAATCAAAATTTCGATCCTTAAATCATTACCATACTCATAATTGTCGAGATATGCCTCCTATCCTTTATATAAGTTAACCTTTGTCGTGCATTGATGCATATCCATCTATTTATATTATTTTTATTTTTTATTTTGAATCTTACATATTAATTCTCATTTATTTATAAATTTAAGTTATCGGGTAATGTTAGATACCCATCCATTTATATTATTCACTTTCCATCTAAATCTAATATAAAATAATTCCATCCATTTATATTCTTTACTTTTAATCTAGATTTGATGTAAAATAATTTCTGCTTATAACAACAACGTAATTTTAATTTGTAACCTAATTTCTCTCACATACTTTAATTTGTAACCTTATCGTTTTTTTAGTTAGTTGTATCATTCGTCTTTAACATCATCATTTTTGTAACAAAAATTCTTTGATCTTTCTTCTTTTTTATGGCCTAATATATGTTTTATAAATTTATTCTTTTATATGATAGTCATTTATCAAACATAACACCACTCAGTTGCCTCCATTTTGCCCAACGTGTGTCGATACTCAGTTCTACAAAATATATCACCATCTATCTGTAGATCCTTTTGTATTAATGGCCCTTTGTTCACTATACATCCCTTGATTCTGAAAGGTGACCATTATTAGATCATTAATATGACTCTTTACTAAATTTACATTTCATATATTCAATTTTAGTCCTACTTTCCCTACAACCCCATAACCATTTTGATTCCAATACTTTCATCACGTTTATAATTTAATTGCTAAATTTTCTTTAGAAGTATCCAGTAGTATTATATGTCATTGCCATACAAGATACATTAAGGGGTAATTTTTGTAATTCTTTTACCATTAATATAAATAAATATGGAGTAAGTGCAAACCTTTGGTACTATTAAAAAAAATTAATTCCCTCCAACTCACTAAATGGTCGACTGTTATTGAGAATCAAATCATTCCTTTATCACACACAGCGAAAACACTAGCACGTCGCATCAACATGAGCATATATGAAGATAACAATCCTACACATCTACGCACGACACAATATTATACATGATTCACCTAACTTTAGGGTTAGGTGTGATACCCCAAATTTCCAATCGTGGGTTGATCAGGTTCACACCCAAAAATATTGAGATATTAAAACAATTAGTACTAAACAAGCACATAGTACAAAATGACATAATAATAAAGAAAATTTCAAGCAGGAAGGAAGTTTAAGTAATAATTAAAATCCATCCATCTATAAATAATTAAAAGCTCCATAATACAACTTGGGAATCCCATATGAAGGATCCCTAAATCCAAAAAATGTAAACTTTAATAATTCGTGAAAACCATTAATCACAAATTTACATAAATCCCATATCTTAAAATTTCATGATTTTTACATATCTATAATGCATAAATAAATAGTTAGATATAAATACTTCGATATGTAATTGTAAAACTCGAAGAGATCAAGGCAAACGTCGAGATCTTTTTTGCGGAACGAATAACATGCTAAACTGCAATAGTCAAAGCGTGGAAAACCAATTTCTCTCTCTTAGCCTTTTGCATACATAAATATTATACGTATTGTTTTTATTAGCGTACATAATTGATAGGATATGTGCACTTTTATAAAGGCAGAGAAATTACCAGTTTTCCTTTTAGTAACATAATTCTATTTTCCATCAAATTAAGGAATAAGAAAGGAAAACACTTCTCCAATAAGTAATTACCAAAAAGGTAATTATAAGTTGACTAAAAATAAATAATATTAATTGATATCTATTTACTTAGCCACCAAGTAATTTGTCACATATCCAAATCATGTGGGCCACAAGTAAATAAATAATCTTACATCAAACTCCATAAACTGAAATAAATAAGTCAGAAGTTTAAACAATAAATAAAAACTTCTACCCTGAAGTAAACAGTAAGAATAGATGATGGATGACTTTAACAGACAACTAAGTCCTCAACTATGTGGCTGGAACTGATGAGGACTTGAAATATAACAACAAAAGGTGGGTTAAACCCACGAGCAAATCCTCTATACTACAACCCAGTCAGAGAATCAAATAAATATATAATCACACATACACACTAATAGATGGTCACTCTGTATAGGTAACCACAACCGGAATAGACGATGACCACTTAGAACTTATATATGATGGTTAAGTGTCTATAATTTAACCGGGCAATAACCATACATGTAACACATCACTGGGCAATATACGCCACAAATCCTAATCATTAGGCAACTCATCCATGCCTAGGAGTAAATACCTCTAATACAAAAATAAATAGGTAACTCAACCATGCCTGGTAATATAAAACCATATCCCAAGACAAATCAATCACATCTTGGCAACTTAACCATACATGTAGGGAATTGTAAAACTGTATTTATTAGTCAGTCCCCTTTACGTCTCATAATGCACTCAGCATATATAATAATATGGTTAATACCATTACATCTCTCAATGCACTCAGCATGTAAAATAATATGGTTAGTACATCCACAAATAAAATAAATAAATAAATTACAATATGATTAATACCATATATATAAATAAATTTCCATTTAATAATTTAAAATATTATAAACTAATAAAAAACTAAATGCTTAATAACATAATATTTGTCGCACCCCGAAGGACCCAATACATTTGCGAATAATCTAAAACCCGAACCGAAAGCCCTGGTGTAAACTACGGAAACTAAACCCGTAATAGTCTACATGGCTAATGTGACCATCACTGTAGTGATTATTAGGTCTATTAAGGTTATACCAAACATCTATAAACATTTTATGAGGTTCAAGGCCCTATAGAAATGGTTTCCCATAAATAATTCATCTCATTTTAAATAATTTTCCGACACTGTCTCACTAAAATGTAAATATCTCCTAACAGGATAGGAATATGAAAATATTATTAGTATCATTGGAAAGCTAGCGAAAAATTCTTAAATTTGAACTCAAGAATAACTTAATTTGCATTTAAAATAACTGGGTTATGGACGTTTCAATTTCATATCACAAAACAGACAAAACAATAGGCTGAGCTCCAAACGCTACTATGAGCGCACCCATACCGAATTAAAAGACAAGCTCCACACATGTGGCGTACTCTCACTGAAACAAGTGGCGCAATACCATTGAGACACATGACACGTTTTTGTTGGCTACTCTTTGAGCTCAGATGTGCGCGTCACACTGCGTCATTATTAACTTCATTATTCGCATCAATGGTTGTTATTTTGCACGCGCTGTAACGAACTACACTGCACCATACCAAATTCTATAGCCGGAATTTTCAGTTTGTTTAAAATAGTCCAGAAAAATCTACAAAAATTCCTAAATATTCCAGAAACCTTAAATAACATTCATATACCATAAATGAATCATATAATTCACTAACAACATATATTACACACTTAAAATTAAAAATCCAAAATTACTTCATAAATTTTAAAAATAAAATAAAATAAAAACATACATAATAATAGCATGATTCAGATAACACAATAGTATATGCAACGAGATGAATAATTTATGAATTCAAAGGGGAATAGAAGAGCAATGAATTACCTTAAGGTTTTGTAATAAATCCAAAATACAACCTCGTCGAAAAAAACTTCCAACTCTAGCCAACTTTCTTCTCTAACCCTCTACTCTCTCGGTTTCCTCTCTTTTCCTCTTCCTCTATTCTCAATCTCTTCATAAATACTCTCTCTCTCTCTAATAAATATTCCATCTCTTTCCCTTCAAACTCTTTGTTTCCTCACCCATTACTTTCTTTCTCATGCAAGACTTGCAAATAGACCAAAATAGCTTTTAGATCCAAAAAGGCAAAAGCCGCGTTTTAGAAGCCAATCCAAACAGAGTCTAATCTTGTGCAAAAAGTTTCATCGTTACGGTATTATTCTATCTCCAAAAAAGATAGAGATATAAAAAGAATTAATTAATTTTTTTGGTATAGTTTTAACTCAAGAAGGAATAAAACTACAAAATAAAAGGTTTTCTCTGTGTAGAGGCTTCTCTGCAAGTGCAGAGTTTCTCGCGTTTTATCGAGACGTCATGGTTAGAGAGTGAGCTGTTCCTATCTTTGGTATCTTCCGATTTAGGTTGGTGTTATCATGTCAAAAAAGGGCATGCCAACTGTTTTCAGTGTTCCCTGGTTTAAGTTACAGGATGTTGTCGTTCTTTAACCATGGGATCCTGGGGGCAGTTCTAGTTTCATGGGTTTCTTTAACCTTGGGATCCTGTGGGTTTCTTTCATGGGGCTTGCTACCTACATATCGGGGTGTGGCCTCGCATCCTAAATTGGGACCTTATGTTTGTTTGTCAGTCATTTTCTGGTCTCAATCTCTTTGTTTTTGTTCTCCAATGTCTATATAAACCAGGTTGGATTTGGTTGAATTCTCCATAAGTGACTATTTGTTGTGGGGTCTCTTTATGTTTCTGGGTCTCTTGCGTGGTTGTTGCTGCGTTTTTATAAGGCTCCAGTGTTGATTAGGTCAAATGTCTGTTATGCATCGATGATGGTGATTTTGCTACAGGGTTGTCATCGATTAGATCAACCGTGTTGTTATCCATTTGTCATATGTTGAACTAGGGCTACAACTTAGGCCGGGCCAGCCCGAATTTACCCGAGCCCAGCCTAAAATTTTCAGGGCTTGGGGAGTATTTTTCTGTTCTAGGTATGGGCTTGGGCTAGATATTCTAAGCCCGAATTAAATTCGGTCTGGGCTTGGGTTGATATTATATAAAGCCCGAAGCGCAGCCCAAGCCCGA